GCACACACACACACACACAGATAAGTATACTCATGTACAAGTAGTACAGTTGTGCAAACAATACAGCCACACACATAACTTGCATACAATAAATCTTGTGACGTCTCAAGAGAAAGACGTCACGTAGCACACAAAAATGGTGGAACTTACTTTTCCTGTTTCCTGCTTAAGTTCCTGGCCCACAAGTGCCTTGTTGTTCCTGTGTGCTGTTTGTGCTGTGTGTCTGGTGAAAATCTCTTCGCTCGCTGATAGTTGGCAGCCACAGCCAACCAGAAGGCAACCGAGTTCGTTGAGGTCCTGGCTGCTGCTGCTCCTGCTGCTGCAGCTATTGATGCTCCTGCTCCTGCTGCTGCATCCTTTGCAAGCGCCACAGATTGACGAAGAAAAATTGTAGCTAGTTCACATGAAAATTGTCAAGTAAACGAGTGCCACTATTACCAAAATGAAAACGAAAACGAGAACGAAAATGAAAAGAAAATCGAGCCCGTCGTGCATGGAGAATATTATCGCATGAGTCTGTCACATCGAGCGCTTATTCATAATGAGCCACAGAGAGACCTGGCTGGGAGTCGGGACTTGATATTCATGCGGTGTAACATAGAGCTTTGCCAGCGAACCTGAGAACGCCTCGGCTTGCCAAAGTTTAGCTGCAATTGTCGGCAGCAGCATTACGCGGATTACCTAAATCGAACCACGTGACATTTTTGGGAGGCCACAAAGTTGCTTAAAATAATATAAAGAGTGGGCTGAATTTAAATCATCTATAATCTATTTTTATATATGATTTTTTGTATTTAGTAATTTTTTAAATGATAGAGAAAATACTAAAAAAATATGAATATATAAAAATATGTGTAAAACATATATATATGTATATAAAAAGGTTTTATTTTTTATTTACTATTTAACTACATATTTTTGAATTTTTTTAAATTTAAATAATAAGTATAAATATTATTTGTTTTTTTTTAATAGACAAATTTAAATCAATTTATATCGCAAGCATTGCTGCTTCCATTTAGTAAAAAAATATATGATGTTTTTATTTATTTAAAGCACATTAAATAGAAATATTTAATTTTTATATGTTTATAATGAAAATAGTTAAATTAAAACGTTCATTTAACTTCATTTTGAGTTTTATATAAAATATTCTTGTATCATAGTTTTCAAATTTGCTTTATCTTTTTTTTTTTTTTTTTTTTTTTTATAGTTTTTTTGCAGCTTTTGTTGTTAACTCTATAGCGCATTTATGTACTTTATCTATTTATCAATATTTGTTCTAGAAATAAATATCGTAAATGTCAAATATTTATTTATAGCTGGTATATAAGCATTTGTTTATCTTTTCAATTTTTACTAAATACTGCAAATAATTCGTTTTATTATTTGCCAGGAAGCAACAGATAAAGCAAATATAAATTGTAAATGCTTTCTCGACAAATATTTTATAAAAGCTTGAGACACATTGAAATGACAAATTGAGTTTGAGATTTGATTTTAATATCAATTTAAATGTAGAGCTGTAATATAAATTGTATTTAAATGCCAGCCAACAGAGTATTTCCTAGTAGAGCACTCCCGTCTGGCACTTGCTTATTTACTCGATTGTAACACCTTCTCAATTATACGCGTCGCAGCTAGCTCTGCTCAGCACAGCCGCAACCGCAACCACATCATGTACTCCCATTAGAAGCGATCCCGAAGAGCCCCTGGACCCTGGGCTAGAAGTTGGCGCAAGCGAATGGGGTAAATGGGCAAATAACGATATGTTTACATATGGCGCTGCCAATGTGGCAGAAAGAAGGGCGCAGTCGAATGGAGCTGCGGCAAATGTGTCGCTGATTTATATGCGAATTTGTGCGCTGTTGACGAGTAGAGAGAGAGAGAGAGAGGAGCAGCTGGAGGAGAGACGGCGCCTGTTGCCGCTGCGGGCGCTGTGGGTGGGCAATGCTGCGATGTCTGAGTGTGCGGGCAAACAAAAGCGACTAAAACATAAAAACAGCAACAAACACAGAGACACAGCTGAAGACAAACATTGAGACAGCGAGACAAACAGCAACGGCAACAACAACAACAACAAGCTCTCTGAAAATATTTTTGTTTCAACAGCGTGAGAAAGACAAATGCCCCGAGCAGCTCGAACGTGCAACATTTTGTGGCTGGCTGGCGCTGCTTAAAGCTTTAAAATGTCTGCCGCATTTTGTCAATGTCGGAGTTCAGCATTCGCCTAGCTGGCTGTTCATTTTGAATGCATACTTCATAAATCCTTGTCATAACTTTGCTATCAAGTTGCCGCAAAATCGTTAAGAACTTCGCCAGCTTTGCAGCAGTGCAGTGCAGTGGTGCAGCAGGATCCGGAGGATGCTTCGGTTGTCTGCATGTTGCGTATACGCCACGTTGGCTCCCAATTGCAATTTTTATGGCACTTGCCACGCCCCCAAAACTATTTATTGTTCATTTATATGCAATGTCCTCAACTGCATGGCCACAAAATAGATGGCCTGGCGATAGCAGCGCTGCCATGATAAATATAACGACAAGATTAGAAGTCGTAAAGCATGGCCGCCAGCTGAAAGGCAATTGATATAGCCCCAACAGCAGCCTTAAAGAGTTTAACTATACAATAGTTGTGAGTGTGTAGTTACTTTTTTATACTAACTGTAAATGTCTGACATGAATGAGAGCTGAAAGAAGAGCTATTAATGTCTATATATATTTACATATATATAAGTATAGTTATATAAATATCTATGATTTTAGGCCTTTATTCTGATATATGTTATATATTTTCAATTAAATATTAAAATATATTTTTTATTTTAAATAAATTTTTGCACCTCCTCATATTCATTTTCTGTTGGCTGGCTGACCAATAAAAAAAATCCAGCTAATTCTCATTTTTTGCTACATATGACTTCATTTAAAAATTATTTAAGAACAAATCCCAGAAAAAAAAGAAAACATACTGCTATGGTCTCTCCACAGTTATTTCATGCTCATTTAGCTCTTGTATGCTCTCTCCACAATTATTTCATGTTCATTTAGCTCTGAGCGCATATTTGAGGGGAAAAATCCTCTTATTTGCATTTAATTTCTCGCTAAGTACATTACATTTTGCTCATAATTGTTGTACAATGAGCAGGACCAAAGGAACAAGGAGCAAGTTCTTCACTTTGCGCACTAACAACAATTTTTCAACTGTGACGCTTCAATTAGCATTAAAATCAAGTGCCGCACTTACATTGCCTAAGACTCGCACGCAAAGAAAAATCAACAACAACCAAAAATACACGCAGACGAAAAAAAAAATAAATATATTCTTCAGCAAACCGGAAATATTTTAATTTCCGTTTTCGGCTTCTTTTTTTTCTCTCAACATATTTTGTCCGGCCGTAGCTTGCTTTTAGGCCATGTTTCTGGCTCCTTAATTGTTGTTGTCCTTTTTTTTTTTGCTCACTGTTTTTATACATTAAATTAAATTAAATACTTTAAGCAGCAGAGGTCGGCAATAAGCAAATAAAATTAAAAGAACAAAATTTGCATAAAATGTTGTAACTACAGGCCAGAAGAGTGGGGCAAGGTTAGTTAACCCACAGGATCGACCTCGGCTCCGGCCCCGACCCCGACCCCGGCCTCCAGTTGCAACAGCTGCCCTCATCACGCTTGACATTTTAAAGATGTCTGACCGCTCTACGGTTCTTAATTGAATTGTTTAATGGAGTCTTGCGACGACGACAGCAAACACGGTCAGATAAAGAAAAAAAAAGGGGGCCAGTGGCGAACGGTGCGAAGCGAAATCAGAGCGGCGTAAAGTAAAGGCGAAATGCGGGTCGACAAACAGTTTTGCGCCCCCTTCACCCGGTCCCGCCCAGCTGTTGGCCAAGCTTTAATTTAACGCCGCTTTGCAGCCATAAAAAAAACAACGCCAACAAATTGTCGCCCTTGGTCAGTGCGTGGGCGGGTGGGTGTGGCAGGTCAAAGACAACTTTAGCAAACAGGTGAAAACTCACACATTATTATCGTTATCAGCTGCGTACAGTTGTTATCTTATCAGTGCCATCAAGAGAGATGCATTCACTTGGCCATTTTATTGACCTATCCGCTGATTTTATGCCCACAAAGTTTTACGCCAAATGACAAAAGTTAAATCTGGTCGCATTTGCGTGGCTTAAATCTGGGCCAAACACCCACCCGTGGGGGTGGGCCTCCCTTGGGGCTATTTTTCTATATTTTTCTTAGACTTTTTCTGTTTGTCCAATACCATTGGGGATTAGTAAAGTGGGATTTCGCAACGCTTCGCTGTGTTGCTCTGCCAGCTGTCAAAATATATACACAAATACACATATATATAAATGTATATATATTTTCCTTTCTTTTGTTATTTAAAGTTCAGTTTACTTTATCGAGTGCATACTGTTCGGAGCTTTGCCACATCGTTCGTCATAAAGTTTAGTGCATGTGAATAAAGTGAAGTTTGCTTGACAAAGATTTATTTTCTTTTTGAAATATTTCACTAAATTATAATAGATGCAAAATTTTAAACTTAAATATAAGGAACAACTTTTTGTACATTCTTAAATTTTAAATAATTTAATATAATTGCCCAAGTTGCTGCTTATATAATAAACCATAAATTCTTCAAGGTTATATAGGCT